GTTTCAAGTGCTTTTCCCCTAACTGTAATGTCAAAAGCTGCTGTGCGAAAGACTGTTTCTGTAAGAAACCCCATAATCGCTTGATTCACTTTTCGAAACCGGACAAGGAATCTGTCGCCCTCAACCAAACAGTTCAAAGGTCCGTTCTCAACCCGCATGCAGATGTGTTCGGGGGACCGGAAGGATCGAATTGCGTCGTTCTTCTTCAAACTGGGAGTGAAGAAAACAAGTCGTTCGTAGCAACGAGCTTTTTAAAGAATAAAAAGCGAACCGTTTTACTGAGTAGCATTCAATGCCTCATCAAAGATAAATTTGGTGCTTTGCACCAAGTAAGGGGGCTTTTGGACGTAGGGAGTCAGTCAAATTTTATTACGAAGGACTGTGCAGATAGATTACAATTAAAAAATGAGAAAATTAATTTGTTAGTATCTTGTTTAAATGAGTCAACAATGACAATAAATGGAGGAGTTACGACCTCCATATTTAATGGTGATTTAAGTTTCAAAAAGGAGCTAAATTTATTAGTTGTAAGAAGGATAACCGATTTGACTCCGTCACAAATAATAAATGTTTCACTAGATATGCCAAACGAAATTAAACTAGCGGATTATAAATTTAATATTCCTGGTAAAATTGATGTGTTGTTAGGCGCGGAAATATTTTACGAATTACTGAGACCAGGCCAAATTTATTGTGCAGATTCTCGACTACGTTTACAGAATACGGTTTTCGGATATGTCGTTAGCGGAAGTGTAGATGAGGTGAGGGATAACAATATTCATTGTGGATTAATTAGAGATAGTGATTTAAATACAACATTAAAGTCTTTTAGGGAGTTAAAATCGATTGGTGTCAAAAACGAGAATTGTAATAGTGAGGAGGACGTTAGCTTAGGAGTGTTTAAACAGAGAGTACATTTTAAAAATGATAGATATGAGGTAGAACTCCCGTGGAAAAGAGATAGTGAGTGAGTTGAGTGATAATTTTAATTTAGAGAAAAGACAACTCGGAAGTCCTATGAGAAAAATGCAAAGTGATAAGGTGTTGTATTCTGAGTATTGTAAGGTTTTCAGGAATTATTCAGATGAGGGAATAATTGAGAAGGTAACAAATCCTTTTATTTCAATGAATGACCCAGTGCTTTCTTTTCCTCACCAAGTGATAATAAAAAACGAATCTCTCACTACGAAACAGCAAATAGGGTGTGAGGCTAGTGCAGGCGAAAGAAGGGTGTTGAAAGAAGAAATGGGATCGGAAAAGTCAGATGAAGACATGGAGTTACCTCAAGCAACCGAGAGAATTATTCCTCTTGAAAGTGAACGAGCCAAAATGCTTAGTGTGGGTCCAGATGCTATGGCACAACCTGTCACTGTTCCGGAAGAAAAGTGTTTACCTAGAGCACTGCTCATTTCTGCCGATGAGATGTGTGAAGAAAAAGAGGAAAGATCAGTGGATGTGATAAAGGAGACAGCTAAAGAAGATATTAATCCAGTGGTACTAAATAGGGAGCCACTGAATTTAAATAATGATGAAATTGAAGAAATAAAACAGAAAGTGTGGTTTAAGCCGAATTTAAAAGCCTCAAGCAACGTTATATTTGTGCACCATCATTGGCGTAAATATTCGCAAATTCAGCGAGGAGTAGGAAAACCTACTCGGAAACTGCCTTTTATCCAACGAAGTGTTGTTATGAGAAAGCGATCAACAATGCAAAAAAATGTTAGACTTAAAATCTAGAAGGAGCGACATCGATTCGCAAAAATATCGAAATAGTGTTTTAAACGGCGAACAACCGTTCATGGAGATTTGTGTTCAAGAGAAAAGTGCAAAGGAGAAACCCCCTCTCATTCGCTCCCCTTCACTGGACGGCTGTGAAATCTGGATCCAAATCGGATCCGAAAATGGAAAACGACTGGGGTCCTTAACCCAAACTAAGAGTACATGAGAACTAAAGGAGAGAAACAACGCTGAATGTCCCCTCTTCTACACCGCCAGTTAAAACAGGAAGGGAAATGGACTTCCCCCAAGAGAACACTTTTGAGGAGGAACCCAGGAGATAGAGTGACCAATCCTTGTGGATTGGATCTGGACAATACATAGAATGTATTCTTATTATTATATTTTTATATTAACGTTGTATATATGCATATATGTTAACCTTAAAATATTCATTCAGAAGTGGGGAGTCTTCATAATTTGCTAAGAAACTGTCTATCATGGAATTTATATACGTATTTAGTGTTTACATGTGTATTAGAATTAATTCAGTAATGCTATTTGTGAAGTTTGATATTTTATAGTAAAATAATTTTGGTTTCTTCACGTGTGTACTACATTAACATAAAGAGTGAGGAAAAGTTAAGTATCTTTCCAAACTACTACTTAATTAGATTTGGAGAATTTTCCTATGTGCATTTCTTTGTATGTAAACAATATTTTTCTTATTATTCAACACATTTTTGAGATAACTCTTAGTGATACCTTTTATGTAAATGTGCTGATTTGTATTTACTTATGTGTTTTTTTAGCATAGTGTTTTTAAGGCAAAGCCCGTTACTTGTTCGAAAATTATGGGTCAATTGCCAGCCGAGAGAATTTCTCAGAGTTTTTTTCTTTTAGCAAAGTGGAAATAGATTTTTGTGAAATTTCTGGATTAAATATCCTAATTAAAGAAAATGAGTCTTAAATAAAGTCTATGTGTGCATTTTTGTGTGCATGGTGATAAGGGCGTGTCACCTAGTAATAGTTAGATTTATCTAATAAAGCTTTTATTGCAGCTTTAAAGTGATTTTTTAGTAGACCAGGAAAATCGAAGCTTGTATTTTCAGACAACGCAACCAATGCTGTTGGCACATAATTAGAGTTAAAAGACGCAGAGAAATTATTAGTAATTACGAGAGTAATTTGTGTAATTTTTGTGAGAAGATCGTTTTGAGTGGGATATTTGACACTTTGACCCCTGGTCATTTCCTAGTTTGTCGTCCCATTACAGCCATTTTAAGTTTAACTGAAGTATGTGATAACAGGTTAAAAGTGTGGCAAAAACAAACAAAATTGTGCAACAGATTTGGAAACGTTGGTCAAATAATTATTTGAGTACACTTCAGAATCGAAATAATTGGTATTTTAAATAGAATAATGTAAAAATACATGATATGGTAATTCTAAAAGCGGATAATTTACCCGTGTGTAATTGGCATCTTGGTAGAATTCTTGAAGTGTATCATGGTAAAGATAATAAAATTCGAGTAGTGTAAGTGAAAACTGAAAATGGAATTTTTAAACGTCCAATAACTAAACTTTGTATTTTACCTTTTTCAAGTGAATAATGTATGTGAAAATTTCAAATCTGTGTATTTTTTTCAATTCAATTTTGTGTGTTTGAGTACTTTTACCTTTTGTGTATTGAACAATATTACTTTTATTGTGGATTAGTGTTTTCTGTATTGTGTATTATTGGCGTTGTATTGTGTGTATCATTAGTTTTGTGTATTATTGTGTTGTCTAAAAATTGTTGAATGTGTCGTTCAACCCGGGGGTGGATGTTCAGTGTTGAACAAATAATCCTTGTGACGCCCACAACAACAAGCGAATATTTGTCGCGATAGGGCGCTAATGTGTGTAGCAGAGTAAGAACAAGAGCGTATGGAGAACGCTCTAATAAAATTCCTTTTATCTTAGTCTCGCCATTTAATGTGTGGTGTAATCTTTTAGAGATTTTAAAATAATGTGTACGAATCGGTGCAAACTAAACAGTAAGCTTTAGACTTTAATGAAATTTTCAAGCATGGCAAAGCATAGTGTTATATACAAACAACCAGAAACAAAAAGTGAATGTCTGAATTCCTCATCATTGCCCCAATAGTTACATATATAGAAAAATTTGAAAATCGGATGTATATATATTGCGTTTGTGTTCAGTGGTTTAAATAATAACTTTCAGAGTCATTTTATTCCTTTGAAAGTTAGAGGGTGTTACTTATGTAACAAGGGAGTTTTTTTATACTTTTTAGCTAATTTAATATTTTTATTGTATAAATCTTATTTTCTTCTTGAACTTTTATTCGTTCAATAGTAATTTCATTTTCATCGGACCCAGAAGCAAAAGTTTTCAAATAATGGTACTTTGCAGGTCTTAATTTGTGATCTACATTTTCATAGTAATCAGGGGCGTAGCTACCAACATATCAGTCATATCAATGATACAGGGCCCCCAAAATGTGTAAGAAAAAATCGTAAGATATTGAGAGCCCACCAAAAAAAGCCTCCAAGGAATTTTGATACGGGACCCAATCAGGCTTAGCTACGCCAATGATCTATATTCTTCCGAGAGTTTCTGAATTCTATTCTACAGATTTGGCATTTGTGTGTTTGTGTGCGATAATTTTTTTTGTGATGTTCCTTTATTCTTCTCTCTCTCTCTCTCTCTCTTCGATGAAAAAATTTCTATTAAATATTAGATCACACGCAGTGAAGCAAGTTTCTGGCTAGCGACTTGAAAAGTGGTTTTGTTTTTGTCTCGTCCAGACTATCCTTCTTTTTAATCACTTCCTAAAATTAACAGTTCTTCAATCTTATCTGAGTGGTTTTTGCTATGATTGTGCTCATTCAATATTTCTTTAAAAGAGTATTTAATTTTACTTACACAAAACAGTTGCGCTCTCTTGGTATATAATACCTTGAATCTGTGTTAAAGATTTCGGTGAGGTCATAAGAACAAATTATATAAAAAAATTATAAGTCAATTCCTACTTAGGTCAACAAATAAGAATTTTATTTTAGTTACTTTTCATAAATTGTTACAATAGTATATACATATGATAGAATCACAATATTAAGTGACAAAATAGAAAGCGATTTTCCTCGCAATTTTTCATTTTCCTTTTTATATATGAGTATTTGGGGGGGGGGGCTTGTTTGTTACTATTTATTCATGAATTAAATTTAATTATTCTAGAAAATTGCATAACAAAAATAAATCACATTCTCAGAAATTAGGTCATCCCTGGTGAGATACGAACCCACGAACTTTGGATTACAAGTCCAACGCGCTATCCATTGCTCCACAGGGATGCGACGAAAGCTATTCCTTTCTATATATGCTGTTGGACTATTACTTTTGTTTATTACTATTTATTCAATTTTAAATTTAAATAATGAATTAATATTTGAAAAAACTGTATTAACATCAAGTGTCATCCACTACAAGTTTAGAAAAATGTATTTGTACTTGAATGGATAAATAGAAAGTATCTTATTAACGATTGAAAATTTGAACAAGATATATATATATATATATATATATATATATGTGTGTGTGTGTGTGTGTGTAATAATTCCCATTAATGTAATCTTTAATGGCTTTTGATTTATCTATGATCCATTCCGTCAGGACACGTGCTTAATTAATAACCTAGCCTCCCGCCTAACTAGAGTATCTTGAACTCCATCCATCCACCCCCAAATCATGTGATTTCCCGTTGGGTATAAATATCGAGATTTCTGGAATTCGCTCTCTCTTATGTCTTTGTCCTTAATCATTTAGCCGGCTGCACTGCGCGTTGTGTGTTTTTTCTTTGTTCTGTATGGTATCGTCCATGTTTTATATTTATGTGTTTCATGATGTGCAATAAACTGGATTAACTTTCAAAACTGCCTCGTCAATCCCTTCAGTATGTAACATCACCCAAAATAGAAAATGCATGTAATATACATTAATCACTAGCCATCAACCACGCCCTGTCCTTTCGCTCGTTATACTACAATAATATCATCCACTCGCCACGTACGGCAGTTATATTTACTAATAGCCAGAAATATTATAGGTATGTTTTATATATATATATATATATATATATATATATATATATATATATATATATATATATATATATATATATAGGGAGAGAGCGAACTAATAATAGGAATTAAAAAATATACTTTGCCACATGCATACAAGTTTCAATACCTACAACTTCAAGAATCCCCCTGAGGAGAGAATAATATGAAATTTCAATAAAATATAGTTTCATCTATAGTAACTATTTTGCCAAAGTATCCAAAAGTTTTTGTGTTACTTTCCTTAATTCTTGATATATTCATCATCCTATTTGAGTTTATGAATTTTTGTTTAAGCATCTTCACGAATCAAATTTACAGTGCTCCTAGTATTAATCATTGCATAATGGACAATTTTGTCAAATTCCAATTTGGTAATAGCTATAAGGGAATTTGTTTCCAATTCTCCAAATTTCTCTTCGAAACCTAAATTATTAAATAGAAATGTTTTCTTAGACAATTAACTGAATCAGACACACCCAAATTTTTTTTGTTCTATTTGTTTTTTAAATCTGAAGTTCTGGTAAAAACTAATATTATTATTTGTAGGATCAGATTTCTGCATTAAACTTAGAATATCCAATTTAGATTTCCCAGTTGTTTTTTATTTCAAAGATTTTTAATGTGATAACACCTATTTCGTTCATTTTCTTATCTTAGTCTCTACAATAGAAATTCTATTTCGTCTTTAAATGTCTCTTTTCCCTTATTTTGCCATCGTGCTTCTCTCTTTTCCTCAATCTCGTCTTGGCGTTTTTATATTTTTACTATATTATATTTCCCAATTTCTTTCCGAAGTATTTCTAATAGTTAGCCATAATATTGATTCAATATTAACTATTGAATTTTTCTGTTCAAAAATGCTTAAGATATTGCATTATTTTCGATTCCTAACTAAAATGTCAATATACTTAAACGTTTTTCAAAGGTACACCATTTGTAGGTTTTCACAAAACGCATCTTGATAATATTTTAAAAATATTTATTTGCATTCTTGGCTAATAATATAATAAGAATATTATGAAGAGAAAGCATTAAAATATATGTTTCATAATTATATTTACATAAGAATAGTTAAATGTAATACTTTTTATTTCCAATGGTAAATATTATATACATTTATATTAATCTCATTCAAATATTATTGCTACCAATTGAATTATTAGGTTGGTGATTAAATCGAAGCTTTCTTAAATGTACAGATAATTTCATTAAAAATATTCGCCAACAATGAATTAATCGAATTTAATCAATATTAAAATACTTATATTTCAACTATTACACAAAATAAGTTTCATCCTTTTATAAATTAATAAACATTAACTTTACATAAAACAAGTAATATATATAAAAAAAATTAAGTCAATTCCTACTTATAGGTCATCAAAGAAAAATTTTATTTTAGTTAATTAAATTTAATATTTGAAAAAACTATCAACAATAAGTGTCATCCTCTACAAGGTTAAAAAAATGTGTTTGAACGTAGGGTATGAAAAATAAATAAGTATTTGAAGCCAAGAGAAAATTCGTTAGAAAAACATACTGGAGCCATATTTTGGTGCTAATTGAAACTGTGTCAGAAATAACGCAGAATAAATTATTAAAAAATAAAATTTAATTAATGAATTAATATTTGAAAAAAAACTGTGTTCACGTCAAGTGTCATCGCTACACGTTTAAAAAAATGTATTTGAACTTTAGTAGATGAATAAAAAACATTTTATATATGATTGAAAATTTGAACAATATATATATATATATATATATATATATATATATATATATATATATATATATATATATATATATATATATATATATTTTGTTTTTTTCCAGGTATGGAAGTTTAAGTTGGCATTACTTTCCAAGATGGCGACCGATTTAACAGCTGTCAAGTGATTTCTTCTCAGTTTGGTTTGGCAATTCATCAAAACGATCATCAAGCAAGGCGTAGATTCGTCGAATGGACCCAAAACGAGATTGCCGTTGTTCCCGATTTTCATAAGCAAATTTTGTTTAGCGATGAAGCGCACTTCTGGTTGAATGGCTACGTCAACAAACAAAACTACCGCATTTGGAGTGAAGCTAATCCACAAGTGTATGTCGAAACACCGCTACATCCAGAAAAACTGACTGTTTGGTGCGCTTTATGGGCTGGTGGAATCCTTCTTCAAAAACGATGAAGGCCACAACGATACAGTCAATGGTGATCGGTATAGAGCCATGATTACTAACTTTTTCATTCCTGAATTGAACAATCATGATGTCCAGGAGCTGTGGTTCCAACAAGACGGCGCAACATGTCACACAGCTCGTGCCGCAATCGATTTATTGAAAGACACGTTTGGTGACCGCCTAATTTCACGTTTTGGACCTGTGAATTGGCCTCCAAGATCTTGTGATTTAACACCGCTAGACTATTTTCTGTGGGGCTATGTAAAGTCATTGGTCTATGCGGATAAGCCACAAACGCTTGACCATTTGGAAGACAACATTCGCCGTGTTATTGCCGATATACGGCCACAAATGTTGGAAAAAGTCATCGAAAATTGGACGTCCAGATTGGACTACATCCGAGCCAGCCGTGGAAGTCCTATGCTAGAAATCATATTTAAAATGTAATGCCACAAGATTATCTTTCGAATAAAAAAAATTCATGTCAATCGAATAATACATCGTTGTTTTATTGCAATTTAAAGTTCTGTACCTCTCAAAAAAACACCCTTTGTATATATGTAGGGAAAGAGTGAACTAATTGGAATTGAAAAAATATTTTAATAAAACAGATGAATAAATATTTTTCAGTCCAAACAAACAAACAAACAGCTTTAAAATGAAAATACTATAGTTGTGAAATATTTAATGATAAATAACTTAATTTGTGTTTCATAGAGCTCAAAGTTTACTTGTGTAAAGAAATAAACTCGATGATTGGCATAATATAAATTGATGAACTATCTTTAAAATAGTTTTAAAACTTCGGAATGAGAAAACTAAATGATACGCAATTTTATAGAACCATCAGCGTAAAAATAACAAAATGGTGTTAAAAGTACTCTTCGGGGAAATCTAAATCGCGGAAAATCCTGGAGAAGTTCTCGAAAAAATTTTAGTTTATCAATGAAAAAGGAAAAGGGGTTCCTAATTGTCCACGGTTCGGGTTTTTTCTCTTTCTGTTGGATTTCTTTTCAATGTTCGATAATAATAGCGAAAAAAGTGTGGACTAAATTAAGATCCTAAGTATCTTTTTGTGTCTTCGCTCTCTAAAATGCATTTTTTTAAACTTTTTTGAAACTACTGTGTAGATTGACTTTTATATACATTTTTAGAAGAATCGAATGGTATCCTTGCAACGAAATCCATTTCGTAGAACGTAATATATTATTTGGTGGAATCCTATTTTAGTGCACACGCTTGCTAATCTCTAACTTGACGAATTATTTTCATTGTATTGGATAAAAGTTAAACTAAAAAAAGCATTTACATTCCTACCACGTACGCACACACACACGTAAAATTTTATACGGTGTGTATCAGTACAGCGGTTAGAAACTTTTAGGACAGATAGAGTACATATCATCATCATATCCGGGAAGACAGCGCCTCATGAGTCAGTTCCTTCCTTTGAAGTTACCTCCATGATTACCTCTTATTCACCTTCGTTCTTCAAGTTTTCTCGTTTATAATCCCAACGTCTGATTCCATTAAGTATGTCAATCTCAGGTTTGGTCTTCCACGCTTCCGAATTCCAGTGACTTTGAACTGCAGTACCTTTTTGACAACATTATCATCTGGCATTCAAATTACACTCTATAACAAAAAAAAAAAAACGACACACCAAAAACGAGCTGTCCGATAGAAACAAAAATTGTTGGGTAGAAAGATTACGTATGGAATAAAAATGATTAAAATTCCAGAAAAACCGAATGATTTTTTCAGAGTTACATAGTTACAAAGTAACGAGCTCAATAACGAGTTGACCCATCTCTAGCCTGGATGCAGGCGGCCAGCTGCCACAAGACGTGACATAAAATGATAAAGCACCCTGACGGTATCCTGCGGCATTTCTTGCCAAATGTGCTCCAATTGTTGAGCCAGGTCATCAACATTCCCTGGTAGATGTAATCGCCTTCCCATCATATCCCAGACGTGCTCGATGGGAGAGGGATCTGGCGACCTGGCTAGCCAAGGAAATGTTTGATAAGCTGTAAAATAGTTCATAGCAATACGTGTGG